TGTGGGACATTGCTGTGGGGTTCAGGCTCTTGACTAAAATAATCTGTGTCTTTGGTGCTGTGGATAGATTTCCTGCATTTTCCTGTGTTAACTTCCAGTGACAATTATAAAAATATTATAAACTCCGTGTCCTGATCTGAATTGTTCTCTGTGTACAACCCCTGACTACAACAGGACTTACCAATTTTATTTATTCTTTCAAAGAACAATCTCTTTGATTCATTGATTTTTTGGATTGTTTTCTTAGTCTCTATTGCATTAATTTATGCTCTGGTTTTTATAATTTCCTCTCTTCTTTTGGCTTTGGGCTTGACTTGTTCTTTTTCTTCTAGATGTTAGAGGTATAGCATCAGGTTATTTATTTGTATTCATTATGTTTTCCTGATGTGGGAACTCAGTGCAATAAATTTTCCTCTGAGGACAGCTTCTATTGCCTCCCACAGATTCCGGTAAGTTGTATTTGTATTTTTGTTTGCTTGTAGGTATTCTTTAATTTCTTCTTTAATTTCCTCTGTGACCCATTGATTTCTCAAGAGTGTATTCAATTTCCATGTGTTTGTGGTTTTTTTCAGTTTCTTTTATCATTAATTTTGAGTTTCATAGCACTATGATCTAATAACATGCATTGGATAATTTCAATTCTTTTACCTTTACTTAAATATGTTCTGTGGGCTAGTGTATGGTCTATTTTAGAGAATGTTCCATGTACTGTTGAGAAGAATGTATATTCTGATGTTGCTGAATGGAACACTCTGTATACATCTATCAAATTCATTTGTTCACAGATGTGATTCAGTTCTGTTATTTCTTTGCTGATTTTCTGACTGGTTTATCTGTCCCTGTGTGTCAATGGTGTGTTAAAGTCTCCTGTTATAACTGTGTTATTGCTTATTTGAGTTTTCACTTCTGTTAATACTTAACTTTGTATAGCTGGTTGCTCTGAAATTTGGTGCATATATAAGACTGTTATCTCTTCCTCTTGAAGTTTTCCCTAACTAGTATGTAGAGACCTTCTTTATCTCTTCGGATCATTCTTGGTCTGAAGTTCACGTTGTCTGCAAACAGAATAGCTACGCTCGTATTTTGCGGGGGGGGGGGGTCCTGTTGCATGAAGTATTGTTTTCCATCCTTTGACTTTCGATCTATGAGTTTCCTTTCGGGTTAGATGGGTTTCTTGTAGACAGCATGTGGTTGGATGTTGTTTCTTGAGGCCGTCTGCCAGTCTGTTTCTTTTAATGGGTGAATTGATGCCATTTACATTAATGTTTATGACTGTTATATATTGGTTTATTGTTGACATGTTATCTTTCTGCTGTTGTATCTTTTCTATTCTGTTGGTCTGCCTTGCTTAGTGGTTTTTTCCTATGTGTATCTAGACTGTCTTTCAGTATTTTTTGCAGGGCTGGTTTGGTGGTCATGAAGTTCAGATGTTCTTTGTCATGGAAGTATCTTATTTCTCCATCCATTTTGAAGGACACTTTTGCAGGGTACATCAGTCTAGGTTGGAAATCATTTTCTTTTAGGATATGAAATACTTCACTCCATGCTCTTCTTGACTTCATTGTGTTGAGAAATATGCTATGACTCTGATAGGTTTTCCTTTATAGCTGATCTGTCTTTTCTCTCTGACTGCTTTTAATATTCTATTCTTATGTTGGGTTTCTGGGATGGTGATTATTATATGTCTGGGTGTAGTTTTATTTTGGTTATGGCTATTTGGGGTTTTATATGCTGCACTAATCCATATGTAAGTTTCCATTCTCATGTTTGGGAAATTTTCAGTTATTACTTCTGTAAATAGCCTCTTGATATCATTTGTGTTGTCCCCTTCTTTTTCATTTATCCGTATCAATCTTCTGTTGTTTTTCTTTGCATCATCTTGCAGCTGTTGGATTATTTCCTGATTCCTTGTTATTTTTAAAAAGATATTTCCTTTCCTGTTCACTTGTTTCAATCTTGTCTTTGAGGTCTGAAATTTTATGTTCACTTTCATTGAGGTGGTTTTTACAACTTTCAATGGAATGTTTGATTTCCTGTATATCTCTTTGCATCTGCTTCATGTATTGTTTGCTTGTATTGTTCATCCAGAGATTCTATCTTTTTGCATTTTTCCTCTAATTTTTTGGCTGTGTCTTCTTTAGATGTGTTCAGCATTTCTTCCATTATTTTTATCATTTCTTCTTTTACCTGGGAAATTATTTCTGATTTGAATTCCTTTATAGCTTCCTGGAATTGCTTCTTTATTTCAGTTGCTATTATTTCAGGTGTGTGGCTTATATTGTCTTCTATGTACATGGCTCCTAAGCTTCTTGGGATGGGCTGGAGGTTTGAGATTGCATTTTGGTCTCTAGTCTTGTCATTTTCCTATATTTCCGTGTATCAAGTGGTGTTCCAAAGCTTCCCCTGGGCATGTTGTGAATTGCTTCCTATGTGCTGGGCTCCTGAGACTGAATGGAGGCTGCTGGGCGTGGTCCAGTCAGGCCCACAGGACTTCCCGTGCCACCTCCAGTGTTCCAGGAAGCTGGACAGGCTCCTAACCACTGTGGGTGATGATCCAACCTCACGCAGCCTTAGCTCCCAGGATTGAGAAGTTGCTGAATGTGGCCCAGTTAGGCCTGTGAAAACTGCCGAGCCTAGTCTAGTGTAGTTGGAAACTGGACAGGCATTTAACTGCTGGAAGTGATGATCTTAAACTATCTCCAGGCCTGTGCCAGTGTCCCCCAGATTTTTATTCACACCTAGGCATTCAACAGGAAGCTGGCAGCTGTCCCCACACAGCTCAAAGAGCTGGTCCCATGAAAATCCACAAGTGATGTGCTGTATCTGCCAGCCTCCCCTGTACCCAACATTGCCTTTCCATCACCTAGCCTGAGAGCCCCTACTCAGTGACCCAAAATTTTGCATCCCCTCAGCATTACCTAACTTCCCCTAAAATCCCCTGTAAAAACAGCCCTCATCCTTTGCTCAGGGCCAGTGGTCTCTTCGACATTGGCCTGACCACACTGGGTCGGTGATAAAGTTCTTGCATGTTGCTTCAACTTTGCCTGCCTCAGTGGTCTCAGTTGTACCTAGGCTTAGCCTAACATGTCTTTAAAGGAATGTTTTGCTTATATTTGTTTTATGATATTTAGACTTGCTTAAAATGTTTGATATAACTGCTGTGAGTTTTAATCTTAACTTAGACAACAATAACATATATATATATATGACCATTAATAAACCATAGGGCTCCTTAAACCAGTTAAAAGGCAAGTCAGTGGTTGTTCTTAAGATTTGGAGGATAGGTTTCACTGAGACAAACTAGCCTGATCCTCCTCTACAGTCTAGAGGAAATATCAAGCCTGTTCAGCCTCAGTTTCCTTCCTGGTCTGGTCTCATTTCTGATATTTTCCTGCCCCTTATAGTTTCCTTTTTTTTAGAGATTTCCTTTTTATAAGATTTTTTAAAATATGTACTTTAACAATCAGTCATAAGCTCTAAAACCTTCACTGTAAATTTATAAAGTGCTAGGTAATGATTTTGTCTCCAATTCCGCCCTTTTTTCTTGCTGACTCCCTCCACCACTGTCCTTTGCCATTTGACTTGAAACACACCCTAGGGGGAACTTCCAGGAACTGCACACTGGCTAACTCACCTGGGCACCAATCCCAAGTCAGGGGTCAGGCTGTGTGACTGTAATGCCAAAAGCTGGCACCTGGCATACCTTTCATGCCCTACCCGAAATCTGCTTGCCACCCTTACAGCCCTGGTGCTACCATAAAAGTCAAGATCAAATACAGCAGGACCACAGTGCCTGTGCACACAGCCTGCATTGAAAAAAAAAAAGTGAGCCTGCACCACACTCCCCTTACTCCATCCCACAGCAGGACCACAAAGCAGGCCATACTCCTATGTCTGCCAGAACTGCCTTTCATCATGAATTCTCCCCAGAATATCTCACAGGCCAGCCACTATTCTCAGAGATAATCTCTTTCTATACCCAAACCTGGTCTGTTCACCCCCTTGGAAATAGAATTATCTTGCCATCAACTGTCCCTATTCAAAAACTATGGCTGTCAAAGCAATGAGTAGCCCATATATCTGGATATCCCAATCAGATAAATTGTCAGCCTAGGGAGCATCTTAATAACTGTCTTTGCTTTCACAGGTGTAAAAGGTTTTATTTCTCCTGATTCTTATGGCAAGAGATCTCTGTTAACCTAAAAAAGTTCTAATTAGTCTATTTATAATAAATAGACTATAATAATTTAAAAACTATAAATTATAATTTAATTTAACCAAACATATTTGAATGCATTCTGATTTTATAACTAAATTGTCACATGTATGTGTGTATGTGTCTTTCTGTCTAGTTTGTAAACAGTTGTTTTATTTTTCAACACATTTTTCTTTTTTGCATTTTTGGAAACATGCTTCCATCTAAGTTGCCAGATGGTCAAAATTATTTTAACATGGGTTATATGAATACAATACATATTTTTCTCTATATAATGACTCAAAAATCTCTAATTAGTCAAAATTAAATGTTAAGTATTGTGATCTGGTTCTCATAGGTCATCAAAAATTTGATAAGATAAGTGAGAACCCTTCAGGTTTGGGAAAACTATTGGGACAGGACTCCCATTGGTCCAGGACTCCCATTGGTTCCAGGAGCAGCTGCCTGGAAACAGTCAAATTCCAGCCTTTATTCGTTAATAGAGGCTTCAATAAATCCCACGATACCAGGATTACAAGCCTGCACCACCACACTGATTTAGAGATTCTTCTAACTCTTATCCTTGCATGGTAAAAATTGAAAAATTCATTTGTTTTTACAACTTAGGAACAGAGCAGCACAGCAGTGGTACCAGGCAGTGGCAGCTTCCAGCTGTTATAACCCCGAAGGATACCACTGTACACACCACCCTTGACTAAAAGGACACCCTCAGCTCCTGAGTGTGGGAGAGGTGAGAAACGTGAGCAGTGAAACACGACACACAGAGGACATCCGAATGGGCAGGCATGCCATGTTTATGGGGGGGGGGGGGGGGTTAAAATCTACAGGATTAAGAAGTCAGTTCAAAAATCGATGTATCAGTTCCAGTAAAAACTCAGCATTGCCTTAGTGCATTGAGGCTGCTGTGATAAATACGTCAGACCATCTAACTTACAAACAAAATTTACTCCCACATGTTCCAGGGTGTGGCTCATCCAGATCAAGGCACTGAGACTCAAGAGTCCAGCAAGGCCCCTTCTGCAGGTGGTGGCTTCCACAGGAGGCAGCTGCCTCGTCCTGTGGTCAGGGGCCACAGACTCCTTCCCGTCTGATGGGCCCCTGAGCCCACATGTGGGGACCGGACCCTCACCACAGATCACCTCCAGGACATGGTGGCAGAGTGAATGTTAGAGACACAGACATTCAGCCCTGGGGCAAGTGGGTTTCCACCTGTGTCCAGTGTGGTGTCCCCTGTAGGGGCAGATGAGCCATGTGGCGGATATAGAGCTCTGGAGGGGTGGGCAGGGTTCTCATGGGAGGGCGAGGAGTGTGGCTGTGGGTCTGTCTCCCTGGCTGGCAGCTCCTCCTCAAAGCCGCCACCCCTCTTAGATGCTATTCCTAGCATGGCAGTGCCCGGCAAGGGTCTCAGGCCTGCGGCTCTCACCCAGGGGTCTGGCCTGCTGGGGGTCTCGACTGGGCCTTGAGCATGAGGCGTAGTTTGGGCCAAGGGCTCCCCAACTCTGGTCCAGGGCCCGCGGTTCCTGGGGGAAGCGCCGCCTTCTAGCCAACGAAGACTTCAGCTCCTCCCCAATTTCCTGGTGCCCTTGCTGAGCAGGAGGAGACCCACGTTCCCTGTGGTCCCCAGGCCTCTCCTGGGAGCTGCTGCCCAGATCTGTGCACATCACTTTGGGCAGGTCAGCGACAGTCACCCTGGCCGCCTCCAGAAAGGTCTCGTCTTCTGGGTCGTAGGCCACCTCGGCCTGCTCTGCAGCGCCAGGCATGGTTTTCACACCCCGCCACTTTGGGGTGTCAGAGGCTCGCTCCACGTCGTACCCCTCCTCTGGGTCATAGGGCCTGTCATCTTCCTCCTCCTCCCGGGTGTCACTGCTTATGAAGCAGCCGAACTGCTGGACGATGGGATCGAGAAGCAGTGCTCCTGACAGCCCGGCCTGGCCCTTGGCTTTGCCGTCCTGCTGGGGAGGTGGAGTCAGGCCAGCAAGGTCATGGGGAGGAGGCGCCAGGAAGGAGCTCCCCTTGAAGAGAGTCTGCAGGAGGAACCTCAGTGGCGAGGCTGGGTCCGTAGGCCTCGGAGGGACAGGTGAAGCTGCCTCAGGAGCTGGCGCTGCTGTGGCAGGAGTGGTGACACTGCAGGTGGCCCCTGGGGAGAGGGACAACAGTGTCTTCCACACAGGGGCCTCGAAAAGAGGCAGCAGAGCTGTTGGGGTCCCCACAGCTGCAGAAGAGGGCTGGCTCTTCGGGGGCTTCCTCTTGGACCGTGGGGCTGCAGGGAGGTGATAACGGCCTGGCGTGTCCAGGGGGGCCTTCTCATGTATTCTGTCCAGCTCCACAGGCTCTGGAAGGTGTTTCTGTTTCTCACTGATGACCAACCCAAGGAGCAGATTTGGACGTGGTGACTCAAGGCCTGAAAAACAAAGTATTAGCAAAGTTTTAAATCGAAATCTAGGTTTCAGCCTTCAAAAATAAATGCTACTAAAGAATGGGGTGGGGGAATGTTCAAGAAGTAGAGGAAGAGATTCTGGGGCAAAAGCAAATCAGTAATTGTAGGAGACGACCTAGGCAACTCCCCTCCCAGAACAAGGGGTTCCACGTTAGTTAAGCCAAACCCTCTCTCCATGTACTGATGGAGAGCTGTCTGTGTACAGAGCTGTATGTGCTATGTCCTTCTCTCTTCAACTGGTCTAAGCAATGCAAACAAGACTGGCTAAGGTACTGGTATGTAATGCTTGAAGCCAGCCGGCAGCTTCCTGTTTCCTTGCACCACATTCCCCATAAATGGTTGAGCACAATAGGATGGCAGAGCCAAATAGCTGGGTTTGAGCCACAAGATGAAAGGCTATGACTTTCAGGCCATAAAAGGTTACACATCAAAAACTGAAGAAGAGTGTGGGAAGGTGGCAGAGTGCTAAGCAACAGAGAAAGTCTTGGAGAGCCACCATTCAGATGCTAGAATGTGGCAATGTGAGGAAGACAAGAAGGGGGAAGGTGGGTGCCCTGGACCCAGGAAGAAACTGAAATGCAAAATGAAGCCCCAGACAGTGAAGAGAGAAGCATCAATGGAGGAGGAAGTAGAGGTTAGCCAGCAGTGCCTTCTCCGAGACAGGACTCACTGCATGAGAGGAGCCACTTGAAGCTATGGACACACAGTGGTGGGGATGGTGACCATCAGTGGAGGGGAATAGTGGACATGGAGGAGAGCAGCGGCATGAAGGGCTGCACTGGCTGGTGGTGAGTTCAAGGGTCCCACCCTTGCTGTGGGAGAAAACAACAGGGCTGAAGCCATCTTGGAGATGGGCAGCCTGAGATCAGAACTCAGAACTGTGGCTCTCTCTAGTGGCTGCCAGCAGGGCTCAGACCCAAGGAAGCTACACGGAAGATGGTGGGCCAAATGTGACTGACGGTCTCTAGCAGGAAGTACAGGCTCCCTGAGAGTACTCCCTACCCCGCCAAAAAGCTGCTGCTGGCTTGCGGAGACAGATTGACATGGGTTGGGACTCTGCCTCCGCAGGTGTCTGCCAGTGAAAGCAGAGAAAGCGTGGGCAAACCTGGAAGTGGACTTTTTTTTCTGTCTTCTCCCTCTTCTCTCTCATGTTTGTTTTTGATTTTTTAGGTTTTGTTTTTCTTTCTTTATTCTTTCTGTCATTGTTTGACCTTTTTACATAAGTGAGAATGTGGTTTCTAGCCTCTCTGTGGTTCTGCTCTGTTCTTTTCATCTTTTTCTTCACTGTTTCTCTCCAGTCTTCTACATCAGCTTCCCAATGTTAGCATGATCCCCCTTGGTCTTCCAACCTTACTTCTCATCTCTTTCTCTTCTTCCGATTCTCTATTTTCTCCTTAAAGTATATTAAATTTTAACCCCTGAGGGCAAAACGGACATATTAGTTGACATATAATTGTATACCACATGTAATTTTGAGGGATGTTTTGTTATATAATCACAAGTCTAGTTTATATGGTTAAAAGTGGCAAGTTAAGGCTTAGCTCAGTTTGTCATTTTCTATGCTGTATTCAATGCTATCGGTACCACTATAGCCAAAGCTGACATAGTTGTACTAAACAGCTATTTGTCCTGATATTCCAAGACCAAGACTGACTAAGGGTCACAAAAAATACTGTGGCACAGTGCCAAAGAACCAATGGCTGGGCCAAACAAACTGAAGAGGTAGGATCCTCCAACAGACTCAAAATCCGACAACCAGCTCCACCTGGAAGACACCTCAGAGAAGTAATCATCACCTAAGGGTCCTAAATACTAAGGATAAAGCAACCCAAAATAGGCAAATCATCACCCCAGGAATTAAACTCAGAAAAGGAAAAAGAGAAAAGAAAATGAGAGGACATTTAAACAAAATTCAACCCCACACATTGAGTTTGCCAAAAACAAATCCAGGTAGCAATGAAGTAGGACAATCTGAAAGCCCCCACCAGGCATCTCTGAAATAGTAACAACAAAGCAATTGAATGAGGCTCTGGAATAAATGAAATTAGAAATAATCTCCCAGATAACTGGGAGATGGTGTCCAAAATAAGGACCATGCTTAGTGATGATAGAGCAGATACAGACAAAAAATAGATGAAATTAAGAAAAGTATGGAAGCTCAGAGGAGTAAAGAAATGGAATCCATAGGGCAGATTCAAGCAGATATCCAGGAGAATAAAAATCAAAGTAGGTTAGGCAAATGTGAGGATAGGATCTCAGGTATTGAAGGCAGGCTTGTAGTCCAGTAAGACCAGCGGAGGCAGGGAACCTCGCCCTAGGCCAGCGAACTATTTTCTTTGCCTGGGGCCCAGGATCCAGCTTCCTGTGTGTCAGTAAGTCCAGTGGAGGCATGGAACTCTCTTCTTCGCCTGGGGCCCAGGATTTGGGTTCCTGTCAGTGGAGTAAGTCCAACAGAGGCAGGGGACCCCACCCAGCCCGCCAAACTGTTTTCTTCACCTGGGGCCCAGGATCCCGCTTCCTGTCGAAATCAGTTAGTAAGGAGGGGGCAGGGAATTCTGTCCCAGGCTGGCTGACCTCTCTACCTAACTTAGAACAAACCTTGAAGCGCCCAAAAATACAGGAAAATAACAAAACGAAAGACCAAAATGCAGTCTCAAACATCCAGCCCATCCCAAGAAAGCCTAGGAGCCATGTGCATAGAAGAAAATCTATGCCACATTCCTGAAATACCTGAAATAATAGTAACTGAAATAAAGAAGCAACTCTGGGAAGGCTTAAAGGAAATCAAACTAGAAATAATCTCTCAGATAAAAGAAGAAATGATAAAAGAAATGAAAGAGATGCTGAACATATCTAAAGAAGACACAGTTAAAAAAACTTGAGGAGATAAACAAAAAGATGGAATCCCTGGATGAACAATATAAGAAACAAACAGAATATATAAAGCAGATGCAAAGAGATACACAGGAAATCAAAAACTCCATCGAAAGTTGTAAAAACCACCTCAATGAATGTGAAGATAGAATTTCAGACCTTGAAGACAAGATTGCAGCCAGTAAACAGGAAAGGAAAGATCTTTTAAAAATAACAAGAAATCAGGAAATAACAATTCAACACTTGCAAGATGATGCAAAAAGGAACAACATAAGGTTAATACAGATGAATGAAAAAGAAGGGAACAACATAAAGGATGTCAAGAGGATATTTAGAGAAGTAATAGCTGAAAATTTCCCAAACATGAGACTGGAAACCAATATCAAGATCAGTGAAGCATATAGAACTCCAAATAGCCATAATCAAAATAAAACTACACCCAGACACATAGTAATGGCCATCCCAGAAACCGAACGAAAGTATAGAATATTAAAAGCTGTAAGAGAGAAAAGACAGATCACCTATAAAGGAAAACCTATCAGAATCACAGCAGATTATTCAGCACAAACAATAAAGTCAAGAAGAGCATGGAGCGAAGTATTTCAGATTCTAAAGGAAAATGATTTCCAACCTAGGCTGATGTATCCTGCAAAACTGCCCTTCAAAATGGATGGAGAAATAAGATACTTCCATGACAAAGAACTGCTGAAAAACTACATGATCACCAAGCCAACCCTGCAAAGAATACTGAAAGACAGCCTAAATGCATCTAGGAAAAAACCACTAAACAAAGCTGAGAATTAAACAGAACCCAAAGACAAAGATGCAACAGCAGAAAGATAACATGTCAACAATAAACCAATATAGAACAGTTATAACCATTAATGTAAACTGTCTCAATGCACCAATTAAAAGAAATAGATTGGCAGAATGGATCAAGACACAAAATCCAACCACATGTTGTCTACAAGAAACCCATCTAACCGAAAAGGATACCCACAGACTGAAAGTCAAAGAATGGAAAACAATACTTCATTCAACAGAAACCCAAAAAAAAGAGGGGGTAGCTATTCTGTTTGCAGACAATGTGAACTTCAAGCCAATAATGATCAGAAGGGATAAAGAAGGTCACCATATACTGGTTAGGGGAAAACTCGAAGAGGAAGAGATTAAAAAAATTAATATAAATATATATAAATATGTATTTATATTTATTTATATAAATATATATATTTATTTATAAATATATATTAAATATATATTTAAATATATATGCACCAAATTCCAGAGAACCCAGTTATATTTTCAGAAATGAAAAACCAAGTTAACAATGACACAATTCTAACAGGAGATCTTAACACACCATTGACACCAATGGACAGATCAAAAAGACAGAAAATCAGCAAAGAAATAAAAGAACTGAATTGCACCTGTGAACAAATGGACTTAATAGACATATACAGAGTATTCCACCCAACAACAACAGAATACACATTCTTCTCAGCAGTACATGGTTCATTTTCTAAAATAGACCATATATTAATTCACAAAACATATCTAAATAAACGCAAAAGGGTTGAAATCATCCCTTGCATGCTATCGGACCATAGCACTATGAAATCAAAAATAAATGATAAAAGATACTACAAATTCCCACAAACACATGGAAACTGAATAACACACTCTTGAGTAATCAGTGGGTCACAGAGGAAATCAAAGAAGAAATTAAACACTACCTACAAGAAAATGAAAACACAAACACAACTTACCAGAATCTGTGGGATGCAATGAAAGCTGTCCTCAGAGGAAAATTTATAGCACTGAGTTCACACATCAGGAAAACAGAACGAATACAAATAAACAACCTAATGTTACACCTCAAATATCTAGAAAAGGAAGAGCAAGTCAAGCCCAAAGCCAAAAGAAGAGAAGAAATTATAAATTTCAGAGCAGAAATCAATGCAATAGAGACTAAAAAAACAATCCAAAAAATCAATGAATCAATGAATTGGTTCTTTGAAAGAATAAATAAAATTGATAAGCCCCTAGTCAACCTTATTTTAAAAAGGGAATAAAAAGCTCAAATTCAT